CCACCACCCATGGATCGCGAAGCAGTTGATCCAGGACGATGACCACTTGCTGGTCATCCCTACTTTCACGTAGGAGTCTCGGCAGTCATTCGTTATGGGCTTCATCATTCAGCCCACTACGGAGACCATTGGCCTAGTGTTGAGGCACACTATAAAAATTCTCCTCTGCAGGAGGGTCAGGTATTCAATTATAACTTCTTACTCACTATCTCTTCACCTGAACTTACTTTAGCATCAGAGTGTCTGCAGCTACAGAATTTGTTATTTAATCTTGATTCAGTTACAACAATCCTTTATATAGAAAGGATAAGGATAGAAATGGAATTAGACACTAGTCTAATTCCCTTTTACATAATATTACAGAATTGCCCTTATAACTCTAATACTCCCCTCTCAAACTTAGGGTGGTTGATCAAGTTTGAGCTTGTCAACAACTCTAAGCTTTGATTTAAGAAACAAGAATCTGTTGGTGGAGAGAGGCTTGGTTAAAACATCAGCCCACTGGTCTACTGCAGGAATGTGGGAAACAATGAGGTTCTTGCCAACCACTTTCTCCCGGACAAAGAAAATGTCAAGTTCCATGTGCTTGGTCCTTGAGTGCAAAACAGGGTTGTGAGCTAGAGATACTGCACTGAGATTGTCGCATAGTATCTTGGGAGTCTGATGGGTGATGTGAAGTTTCTGCAGAAGAGACTGAAGCCAGAGAATCTCTGTTGTAGCTAAGGCCAGACTTCTGTATTCTGCCTCAGCACTTGATCTGGCAACAAGTGTCTGCTTCTTTGCCCACCAAGTAACAAGATTAGGACCTAGGAAGATGCAGGCCCCAGAAGTAGACCTTCTATCGTCAGGATCAAAGGCCCAGTCTGCATCACAAAGGCCTGTGATAGTGAGAGGCAAAGTGAGGTTAGCAGGTGAGAGAAGAAGACCATGTGAAACTGTCCCTTGGAGATACCCGAGAATGCGCTTAACAGCTTTCCAATGATCCTCAAGAGGGTTTGAGAGAAATTGGCAAACTTTGTTGACTGCAAAAGAGATCTCAGGTCTTGTTACAGTAGCATACTGTAGGGCTCCCACTATAGACCTGAAGTAGGTGGAATCAACAACTTGAGCAGAGTCTACTTTGGATAGTTTGGTGCTTGAGGCCATAGGGGAAGCAATTCCTTTAGCAGTAGCCATGTTGGCTCTATGAAGTAGATCCCTGACATACTTGCTTTGAGAAAGCAGAAGAGAACCATTGGGAAGATGAGTTACCTCTATGCCCAAAAAATAATCTAGTTTGCCCAAGTCTTTGAGAGAAAAGGCCAAATTGAGTTTAGTGACCAACTGCTTGATGAAAGAAGAAGAAGAGCCAGTGATGATAATGTCATCAACATACACCAACACTAAGGTGTAGCAGGATGGTGTGAGCATCATGAACAAGGAGGGATCACACCTGCTGGCAGTGAAACCCAGTTGGAGAAGAGAACCTTTGAGCTTATCAAACCAGGCCCTAGGAGCCTATTTAAGTCCATATAGGGCTTTGTGTAGCTTGCAGACAAGACCAGGCTCACCCTTTTCAAAACCTGGTGGTTGAACCATATAAACCTCTTCATTAAGCACTCCATTTAGAAAAGCATTATTGACATCAATTTGCTGTATGATCCAACCTTTAGATATGGCAAGTGTTAAAACAGTCCTCACTGTAATGGGTTTCACAACTGGTGAAAAAGTTTCAGTGTAGTCAAAACCTTCAACCTGATGGAAACCCTTAGCAACCAATCTTGCTTTATATTTGTTAATTGTCCCATCTGCATTTTCTTTGACCCTAAAAACCCACTTGCAGCCAATAGGTTTTCTGTGATCAGGAGCAGGCACCAAAGACCAAGTGTGGTTCCTAATTAATGCTTTATACTCAGCTTTCATAGCAGTGTGCCACTCAGGAATGGATAAAGCTTGTTTATGTGAGGTTGGTTCCAATTGAGTGAGAAGGAGAGTGGGGTGCAGCCTAGGTTGAACAATACCATCCTTAGCTCTAGTGACTATGGGATGAGTGTTAAGAGGATGAACAGATGGAGCAGGGGAGGAGTGTTCAATGAATGGAGAAGAGGTTGTGCTGTTACTAATGCCCACTGAGGAGGACTCAATATCAACTTGAGGAGACACAGCTGAAGAGTCACCAGAAGATGTTTCAGGATGAACAAAATGTTGAGAAGTAGAAGCAGACTGGGAGGGAGAAACAGGTAAACCAGGGTCAGGATTAATGCTGCTGAAAGAAGGTTGCCTGCTAGAAGAACCAGGGGAATTAGTAGGTGACTGAAAGTATGAGTGAGGACCAACAGATGTAAGGGGAATAGGATGTCCAGATGGAGGTCCAGAAAAGGGAGTAGGGGAGGGTTTTGAAACAGATTTAGATGATGAGTCAGGAAATAGGGAAGTATAGGGGAACCTGTGCTCGTTGAATATTACATCCTTAGACACAAATATTATGCCAGTAGGATCAAGACATCTATAGCCTTTGTGGGATGGAGAATAGCCAAGGAATAAGCACTCCTTAGAATGCATAGCAAGTTTGTGAGAATTATAGGGTCTGAGATGAGGAAAACAGGAGCAGCCAAAGGCCTTTAAGAACTTGTAGTCAGGAAATTGAAAATACAGCAAGAAAAAGGGTGATTTATTGTGCAGGGAAGGAGATGGAAGCCTGTTTATGAGATAGGTAGCAGTGAGGAAAGCATGATCCCAGAATTTTAAGGGTAGGTTAGCCTGAGCAAGAAGAGTGAGACCTGTCTCCACAACATGTCTGTGTTTACGTTCCACAAAGCCATTTTGGTGATGAGTATGTGGGCATGTAACTCTGTGTGTTATGCCATGCATGGTTAGAAAATGTGTCAAAGGTTTGAATTCACCTCCACCATCTGTTTGCACAGACTTGATTTTGAGATTAAGTTGTAGTTCAACAAGAGCTTTAAACTGAATAAAAGTGGCAAGTGTGGCAGATTTTAATTTTAGAGGATAAATCCAGGTATAACGGCTGTAAGCATCAACATAGATGAGAAAATATGAATAGCCAGAGATGGAGGGAACTGGTGAGGGCCCCCACAAGTCACAAAACACAAATTCAAGGGGTTTGGAGTAAACAGTTTTAGATGAGGTAGATGGTAACCTATGTACCTTACCCAAACATCAGGCATTACAAAAATCAGAAAACTGTTTATTAGGAATTGAAATATTACACAGTTTGAGAACTTGTTTAAGAACCTCATGATGAGGGTGACCCAACTTGTGGTGCCACAGTTTGTACAGACTGGAAACAAAATCTAAGTTCCTATTATTACAACTGGAATTGAACACAAAGCTAGATTCCAAAGAAGGATGTTGAAGGCCAGATGACTTGCAAACAGTACTGAGGACTTGAGAGGAAGTAGGAGGAGGAGTGCAGTCGAACTTATAAAGACCATCACTCCCAAGGGAACCACTCAAAAGCACTTTAGAAGTACCCTGACATTTTACAAAACAGGCATTAGCATGGAACTCAAAGAATACAGCATTATCTTTGGCAAATTGACTCACACTCAGCAGATTTTTAGTAATGGATGGAACAAGAAGAAGATTATTCAGTTTTAAAGAAGTGTTAGGGCATAAATTTGAAGGAAAAATCATAGAGCCAAGAGAAGTTATGGACAGACCTTGGCCATTGCCAATATGAACTTGATCATTACCAGGCAGAGATACAATATCAGTAAGATTTGTGGCATTTGGAGTCACATGATGTGAAGCTCTGGAGTCAGGATACCACGCCTGGTTGTAGAACGGAGAATAGTCAGTGCCAGCAATCAGTGCTTGAGGCCTTGCACCAGAGTACTGAGATGCCATTACAGGCGCCACAAATCTAGCTTGATTCACAGTTGAAGGACTTGAAGCCCTAAATCCAGGTTGAGTCCACACATTTGGTTGACTGAAGCCAAAATTTCCAAAGGAGGCAGGAGCACCATAAGGAGGATAGACACCATAAGAGTCTTGAGAGTGTCTGTAGTAGCAATAGCTAGCATCATGACCAGGTTTATAGCATATTTGACATTGCACAGAGTTTCTATAGCCGTTGCGGCCACCACGTCCTCTGAACCTTCCTCCTCTATTGTTTCTGCCACGAGAATAGCTACCACGACCAAAGCTTTGGAAGTTTCCACCACTGGAGTCAGGGATATCAGAATTTTGGGGACTGAGATTGGAACTTGGCACATTACCTTGAGTAAGGTTCACAGAGACAGTCTCAACAACTTCTTTCTTGGATTTCTCAACTCTAGCTTCTTGAGTGAGGAGAAGCGATTCCAATTCATCAATTGAAATGAAATCAGTCTTAGAGTTAACAACAGCAACAACCGAGTCAAATTCCGATGGTAACGCCTCAAGAATCAGTTCAATTTGGTCACGATGAAGGACTGGATCACCAATTGACATTAAAGTATCGACGATTGTGCGAACGCGAGCAAGAAAATCAGAAATGGTTCTAGTACCTTTCGAGAGGGAGCGAAGCTCCGATCTGAGTTGGCGAGACCGAGTCTTCATTTGCGTATGGCAGAACGCATGAATTTCTTCCCAGACTTGCCACGAGTGACGAAGGAGAATGAAACGAGAGAGGAGCGAATCTGAAATCGTGGATAACAACCACGTGCACAACAGCGCATCCTGTTCTTCCCACGCGACGAAGTTAGGGTTCTCACTTCCGGTGTCACGATCGGCAATAGTGAGGTACTGTTCCGGTATCTGAGGTGATACGACAAACCACACCATTTTCGTACCACGAAGAACTCCTTCAACTTGTTGTTTCCACTGTCGATAGTTGTTCTCATCAAGCTTGACTGAGATTTTTTGTTTGAAGGTGGAGTTAGCAGCGACGGAGCTGTCACCGCTTGCGGTGGAAGACGGCGACGGAGAAGCCATGTGCGCCGAGGATCAGAGATAAGCTTTGGATACCATGATAGGAACAAAGAAGCAAAGAGAGAAAGAAAGAGAAGAGAGAGAAAATGAGAGGGAAAAAGCAAACAGAATTTGTTATTTAATCTTGATTCAGTTACAGCAATCCTTTATATAGAAAGGATAAGGATAGAAATGGAATTAGACACTAGTCTAATTCCCTTTTACAGAATTGCCCTTATAACTCTAATACGTTGATCGCTGTCTTGCTGGCCACTCATTTGTTCTGATCACATGTAAGATCAGTTGTCTTATTTCTTGGATTATAACTTTTATGTACCATATCTGTATCTGTCTCTTTTTGTTCACTTGGTAACAAAGTATGCAAATAGGTTCTATCAGATGAAGAGAAAAGATCTTTATATGATCGCTTTGGTGAGTCAGGTCTACAAGGAGAGAATGAAGGACCCGCCAGTGCCTCAGGGGTATGTCTATATTCAAGTATTTTGCTTTCTGCAATGTCAAAATAAACTTAAGAGGTAAGACTCTTTGATTTGGTGTTTGAGTTGATCAGGTTGATCCTTCTGATTTATTCGACGCATTCTTTGGTCGTTCGGATGGACTATTTAGTGATGAAAGGGGCTTCGGCTTCAATATGAGAAACGATAGAAACCGCCATGATATTCGGTAAACTTCGTCTCTTGTTACAGAGAAAGGCAGTTGTCATTTGTAAACAGTGTGCGTACTAACTTAATTGTGTTCTACAATGCAGGTATGACCTGCGTTTGAGCTTTGAAGAGTCTATTTTTGGAGGAAAGAGAGAGATAGAAGTTTCTTGTTACGAGACATGTAATAGTTGTGATGGTACAGGAGCTAAATCAAAGAATTGTATTAAAAAATGCATACATTGTGGTGGCAAAGGCGGAGAGAAGAAAACCGAAAGAACGCCGTTTGGAATGATGTCTCAGGTAATTTCAATTAAGTAGATTTAATAAGCAAGTGACTATATTTTTTAATTGTATTTAAATTACCGGTGGCATTATAACATGTGTATATTCAATGATGACATGCGACATTCAGGTGTCTACATGCTCTAAGTGCGGTGGTCTCGGCATGATAATCACGGAAAGCTGTCGAAAGTGTGATGGCAATGGTCATGTGCAAGCTAAACGAAAAGTGGAAGTGGCTATTCCTCCTGGCGTCAGTGATGGAGACACAATGCAAATTCGAGGAGAAGGGAATTTTGATAAGAAAAGGTTAGCAGCATAGAACTATTGATTTGCAACCGGAAGCAAAAAAATGGTTCGAAACATTATTATCAACACATCTAAGCGCGCCACTAACTATTAGTTTGGTGCGATTTTTCAGGCATTATACTGGGGATCTTTTTGTTGTCCTCCATGTGGATGAAAAGCGAGGAATTTGGAAAGAGGGTCTCCATTTATACTCAAAGATTAACGTTGACTTCACAGAGGCAATTCTAGGGTCTGTTAAAAAGGTATTAATCAACCCAAAAAATGGCAACGATTAATGATGCAAAACGGAGAAGCTTGTTGATTTAGATAAATTATGTTCTTTTAAGAATGTTTTTGAATGTTGTTTTGATTTTAAACTTGTTATTCCAGGTAGAAACGGTTGAAGGTTTAAGGAATCTCAAAATTCCTTCCGGGATTCAACATGGACATTCAGTGAAACTATCACGTTTGGGAGTTCCAGACATGAAGAAACCATCTATCCGAGGCGATCATTACTTCGTTATAAATATTCTTATTCCAAAAGATATCAGGTCTGTATTTTTTTTTCTTGCCATCTTTACTGCATTTTAATATCTCTCACAAAACTAAAGTGGTTTCATTCGTTTTCTTCAAATTCGTGTTCTAGTGGCACGGAACGCACACTTCTTGAGAAATTAGCTTCGTTGAGAGCATCTAGAGAAGGCCGTTCGTTTTCTTCTGATAACAGTGGTAATAGTACATTTTAAAATTATGCTGAAAATACATGAAAAATTAAATATTATCCAAGATTTTTCACAATGCGTTTTTTCAGGAAAATCTAAAGGAAAATTCGATGATTTCCTGATGAAGAAGGATACAGAAAGTGATGCCTCAAGCAAGGGAACTGAAACTGCAAAGTCTCTTTGGGGATCAATCAAGGACTTCTTAAGGTAGGTATCGACAGAGCTGTGTATGTGCTAAATCTGCTTTAATATAAACAACATTGCTGTTTCCCATTTGCAATATTCTGAGTAGAAACCGTTTATGAGTAATCGGTACCTACTTCTTGATGTACAGGAAAGGAAACTCTGAAGAAAGGTTTGCATCAATTAGCCAAGATACATCAACAATGTTGTGGAGATTTGACCACCAAAACTATTTAGTTCCACATACCATTTTTGTTGTTCTATTTATAACATGGATTTTTAAATCTATAGCAAAGTCTAAGAACTTGAAAAGAACCTAATCCTTAGTATATAGAATCGAACACAGCAAATAGAAAGGTTTTGGTTCCAAAATTGAGAGAACCATCCCCCATCCTATTACATTTTCAAACAAGGGTTGGTGATTTTCTTCCAAAAATGTCACCTAAGATGAGTGAGTTGAATTAACCATCCTTTATGTTCCTCCCCTATTGTATAATGCTCCAAGTTTGAAATTATGTATCGTATCCGTTAAGAAACAGGAATTGATAGAATTTGTTGCAAATATTAACGTTTAGTGTCTTTTTGGATAATTTAGAATTGAGCGGAATGAAATAGAACAGAACAAAAAACTCTATTTTATTGTTTGAATATTTTACAACGGAACAGAACTAATACCTCATTCTATTGTTTAAAAATAGGACGGAGCAAAAAGTATTATAATTTATTTTATTTTATTTTTATCCTTTACTTTAAAAATGTTAATATAATTAATGTGAAATTTTGGAGGACAAATTGAAATTGTGTTATTAATTTATTTTATTTTATTGGATATACTCCAATTTGGATGAAATGAAAAAAAAAAACACTAAAATAGCGGTATTTGATAGAAGGAGTCAATTTGGATGAAATGAAAAAAAATTAAAATAGTACTATTTCATTTATTTCTTGTAAAACTAAAGAGTAAAATATAACATCATTCAATTTCATTCATTTCCATCAATCCAAACATATCATTAAGATTATTCAATTTCATTTATTTCCATCGATCCAAACATATCATTAAGATTACTTTATTTTATTAGTACGAGGCTTAATAAAAGACCTAGATTTATATTCATCATTAAGATTATTTTATTAGTACGAGGCTTAATAAAAAACCTAGATTTATATTTATCTCTATTTAAGTTAATTTATTTTTCAATTGTAAATCACAATTTTAAAATACATGAAAATACTTTTTCTATATAATAACTTGAAAAGAACCATTTATTTTGTTTTCGTCTTAAGTGTAAGACTTTTGTTTGTCTTAAGCATTGTTTGAAATTTTAAAATGATGTCATTCTTACTATTCACGTGTCATTGTTATTCATCTGCGACACTGTTTACGGTGTGTGTATTTTTTATTGTTTGAATATTTTACAACGAAACGGAACTACTGCCTCATTCTATTGTTTGAAAATAGGATGGAGCAAAAAGTATTATAATTTATTTTATTTTATTTTTATCCTTTATTTTAAAAATATTAATATAATTAATGTGAAATTTTGGAGGACAAATTGAAATTGTGTTATTAATTTATTTTATTTTATTGGATACACTCTAATTTAGATGAAATAAAAAAAACTAAAATAATGGTATTCGATAGAACGAGTTAATTTGGATGAAATGAAAAAAAGGATTAAATTAATACTATTTGATAGAATGAGTTCGTCACATTTCATTTATTTCTTGTAAAACTAAACAGTAAAATATAACATCATTCAATTTCATTCATTTCCATCTATCCAAACTGATCTTATCGGATCAGACTTGGACCGTCACGACTGGCTCCGAGCTGAAGATGAACGAGATGGGGGGTACCTGCAAGGCACTCCGATGCTAAAGTGAGTGATAGTACGAGCAGGCAAAAAGTGTGTATATGGGTAAGAGAATGAATACCTGACCCTCTAGGAATAGAGGGTATTTATAGCCCCCAGCGCGGGGCCAAGGTCCCTTCATTGGGTCGACCAAGACTTGCCCAATAGAGGAACTGCCAGGTTCTATATGTGTAGTGGGGACCCGCACGTGGTCCCCTTCCTGGTGACGCTCTGCGAGAAGTACGGAGGGACGAGGACGCGGTCTTTCCGGAGTTCAGGTGATGGAGTAACGACCATAGTCTGCCCTACGAGGGGGGTGCTCGAGCTGAATTTCATGTGGTCGACGACGTCGTGTTCGCGGGCAGTGGCGGGCACGGCTGTAGCTTCTGGTCGACGCGCTGGCGGGCATCTTCGGGCGCGCGCCCCTTGTAGAGTTGCTTGGATTGGGCCTTCGTTCTTGCTCTTGGGCCAGGATGGGCCCAGTCCAGAACAGGAGCCCCCCAAGTCGTGGCTCCTGGAGCAGGAGTCATGACTTGATCTCAGTTCGTATTCGTCACGGGGCCTTACGCTCGGCCAGGATATTTGCTTCCTCGTGGCTGCTCGAGGAGTTTCTCCTGTGTTGCGTTCGTGAGGTAATCCCTTTCGAGGCGTGCTCGGGGGACTCTTCACGGGCTGCGCTCGTTGAGTATACGAGGCAACCCTTGGGAACCGTGACGCCGCCCTAGTAAAAGTAGAGTCCTCATTGGCTAGGGGAGTAGACGTCGAGGAGGGGAAGCTCGTGGTTCCCCCGGGGTGACGTTTCGTATTCCACGTCATCCCTATAAATAGGATCATTGGGTCCCATAATCCGTTTTTCCTCTTCGCGCTTCTCCTCCTTCTTCTGCCTTTGTCGCCGCTGTTTTTCCAGAACTTCATAGGACCATCGTGCTTTCCGCCGTCGATTTTCTTCCCTGCCGCCGTACATCCTTCCTAATTTCCAAGTAAACGTTTATCCCTCATGTTTTTCTTTGTGGTAGGTGATTTTTTCCGTTATTTGTATGTTAGAAAATCCGCGTCTGGGATTAGCCCCGGTACATTCGTATTCCTGCCCGGCATATCCATGTTTATGCCCAGTGAATGCATGTTTGTGCCCGGTAAACGCATAGTTTAGGCATGTGACTCGCAACGCTGCCCGGGATCTTCATGGTTCTGGGCGCCTAACTCATGATATTGCCCGGTAAACCCATAGTTCTAGGTTTAGGATTCATGATATTGCTCGTCATATTCATAGTTTAGGTCGACGTACTCGTGACTGGCCGAAATGTTGGCCCATTTAGGCAGTATGTAGAACGACTCGTCGTGACACCTTGGCGTCGGGGAGGTGAAACCAGACTCTTGTTCGAATCCTCAACGTTTTAATCGTGTATGGAGTACGACTCGGCTTGTTGTGCCCCCCTTCCCATTAGTTATGGCGAGCGTATGGACTTGCTCCCAAATTGACCGGTTTCCCGTACTTTGCAGGTAAAATGGCTGATGAACCGGGGTCCTCGGGGCGCAACGAGGTCGAAGACCAAAGTGCCGAGGAAAATGTAACTCTGATCGATACCATTGATGATCCTTTGCTAGAGTGGGTGGGCGCCGAGCCCAGAGGGATTGCTTCTGCATATAGTCGGCGCAGTCGGAGCGCGTACACTATCGTCGAGCACGGCGGTAGTCAATCGGGCTTCCAGAAAATTTTTGTCGTCACCAGACCGTCTCTTAACGCGCGGATCTGCTCGGAGTTCTCCGAGTATGGGTTTCCCATGTACGAAATAGTGTTCAAGGACCTCGGCCTCAAGCTCCCCTTTAGTGATTTTCAGGTCGGGGTATTTAGTCATCTGGAGTTGGCCCCCTCGCAGCTTCATCCCAACTCAATTGCCTTTCTTCAGGCGTTCGAGTTGGCGTGTCGCTTTTTAAGGATTGGGGCGACCATACCTCTCTTCTTCAGAGTCTTTCATTTACAACGCCAGTCTCGGGGAGGTAGGCACAGTTGGGTTTCCCTGAAACAGTCGAAGAGGCTGTTCAGGATGTATATGGATTCTGTTCGGGGATTCAAGGACAAATGGTATATCGTGCGGCCGATCACCCAGACTGCTCTAGATTCTGTATATGAAGAAGAGACTACAGTGACCGATGATCACGGGGAGCCTCTTATGGACGATGAGGGTCGTCCGGTGTTGGGGCGTGTAGCTAAGTTTCCCTTGCATTGGAGCTCGCGCCACTACGAGCACGGCACCGGGCATTACCATACGCCCGCGGGAGGGATGAGCACCGAAGACAAGGAGGCCTACGGTACCCTCTGTAGATATGTCGACAGTTTCTTCCCTGCCCGGTGGGCCACGAGGGAGGGAAAGGACATTCTCGACGAGGATGGTTACCCGACCTTTGAGGCCCGTCCTATAGATACAAAGGCGCTTGTGGAGTGTCAGTCCTACGGGCAGGCCGCGAACCTGCTAGGTTACTTTTTGTCTTATAGTCTTGTTCTAATTTCTTCGTTTGTTACTTGCTCGTAACTAACCCGGGTTTTCTTTTTTGCAGGTCATATGGTCGGACGAAAGGAGAGGCTTCTAAAGTTGACACAGGATAAGAAAGTCAACAAAAGGGTGGTGCGAGCTCCTAAGGCGACGAGGATGGGCCCGCCAACTAGTTCGGGTGATGCTTCTGGCGGGTCCCCGGACTCCCAGGATGTTGAGCAGCATATTGATCTGATACCGAGGAAGAGGAACCAGGTGGAGAGCCAGCCGGAAGTCGGTGATGAATCTGGCGCGGTGAGGTCCTTTGGGTTGCCCCCTGTTTTAAAGAGGAGGGCTTCTTCGAGGGGTTTCCCTTGACTGTAAGCGTCGATGAAGATGATACCATTAGGCGGCTAAGTAAAGAAAGCCAGAGAAAGCATATGGCCGCCAACATGGTCGGGATGATCAAGATGGTCGAGATGGCTGTTGTCCTGGCTGAGGAGGGGGCAGACTCTGACCGCGTCAAAGAGCTGGAGCAGAAGAAAGCTGCCCTTGTTGTGAGCTCTCAAAAGTTGAAGGCTGCCCTGGAGCGCTCTGAGGAGATGTTCCGCGAGCAATCCGAGCTGCTGGCCGCGGAGAAGGAGAACTCGGGGAAGGTTGCCGAAGAGAGGGACTACTTTTGACTGGACCGAGAATGCTTGGAGGCCGACAACGGGCGTCTCGCCAAAGAGGTCGAGGATCTGAAGGCCGCCATGCTTCCCACCGAAGATGAGTCGGAGGAGACAGCCCCCTTGCGGAGTCGCTCGGATTCAACTCCTCGAGAAGGACTGTGTTGGCGCCTTGGCGGATGGCTTTGAGGCCGCGGTTAGCCAGCTCACTTTATTGAATCCTGGTCTGAATACCGAAGGGGCAGGCTTCATGTCCCAGATCATCGACGGCCAGGTCGTGCCTCCGCCCAAGTCTCCTGTCTTTGACGCTGGTAGCCCCGGAGAA